TACAGAAGATTGAACTTTTGAATTAAGATTACGAGCAATAGACGAGAAGTAGATGTTAAATCCGTTGGCAATCTCACGGCGTTCAGTTACAATTCTACCATCAATTAAGAATGATGCTTTTATATCTTTTTTAGATTTACCCCTGAGTTCGTTGATCAATTCCCAGGTTTTTTTAATATTTCCTTTAGCAAGTTCAAATTTTTTCCCATAGTGGGCTTTTTTCGCAGATTTTATAGCTTTGTTTAAGATAGAACGATACTCCTTATACTTAAGATATAAAGTTTCCTCACCTAATGGGTTGATTTTGGTACACGAAGCCTTCCATCGCTTGTAGTGAAAGCCTTTAGTAAACACAGATTTAATTAACGCAGAAGTGATCCATGGATTCATCAATCTATTGCGTTTTGATTGAAAACCAGCAGTACAGTCCACTTTGAAATTCAGTTCGATTTTTTCGTGGACAGTTTCGACAAATTTTTCAAAACCTTCCTCATCATACGAAAAGTTCGATTGGTAGATATCCTTTCCAATATCATTAAGGAAACTTTCTATATTAGACTCACAGTAATCATACTTAGGTTTAAGTTTGGCAGTATTTGAACTCTCTTTAATATTACACGATATGAAACAGAAGATGGGGTTATGATGGGAAATCTTGGATTCAAGAATTCCAGATCCTAACACACGCTCAGTAGAGTTCACTAAAATATTATCAATTAAGCTTTCATTGCAACCCGGCTTGGCATGGGTGGCAATCGATATCAAAGGGATTAAATTGTTACTGTAGATAGTTTGTTCAAATTCAGCTATGTTTCGTCCCTGGGCCAAAAGATCAACATTGAAGTCACCTGTCAAGGCTACATTATTAGACGGTAGAAATTTCATCAACACATCAAGCTCAGCAAGTGCATCTTGAATATCACCACTAGGGGGCCTGTAAACAACACCAGCAATCTGTGGAACCTCTGTGTTAGTGATCTCAACGAAAAGTGTTTCAAGATTGTCAGAGCATTTACATAACTTTTCGATTCGGCTGTATTGGTACTGATTGTCAATATATATACCAAGGCCACTACCTTTCTTTTTCCCATCAGTTTTAGAGTTGTACTCACTGCTGTAACCATCAATTTTGTATAGATCTTTATTTTCCTCATTAATGTTTGTTTCAGCTAGCGCAATAACTGCAAATTTCTCATCATATTGACTCATATCAGTAATAAAGCTGTCAAAGTTAGATGCGTTCCCATCAATGTTGTTAAACACAATAGATATAAACGGCTTGTTATGGTTAAGTATGTTTTTTGACAGCCGGTTGAAATTTGTCATGTTATAATACCTACAGTCTTTTAGAATGTTTGAAATAGTCTCCATATCCTCGTCTCTTTCTACAGTGTTGGGATCATATTTGTCATAAATAATTGAGTTAAAAGGATTGTACCTTTGGGATTTGAAGGCGTAACACTGACTGCAGTGCCACATTTGTTTAACATGATCAAATTTAAAACTCTGTTCAGAACATTTGGCATGATATATTGTATCGCAACTCTCACATATTATGATTTTATGATGGCTTAGTACATTGCTATCACAACCTGGACATCTCTCTCTTGTAATATTGAAGTTTATTGAGGTCATATCGGTAAGATATCACCCGTACTACCCCTACTTAGGGCACTCCTATAGTCACCATTTCCACCTTTAAATCTTTCCGTGGACTGACTTCCACCACGTTGTACAATACACCGTTTTATGTTCATACAAAATATTTTCAGGCCTTCTCTCCCGAGATGAACAACATCATTGACCAATGGTGTGCCATCACGTGAGAATCTACCATACTTAGAGGGCATACATCCGTTAACAGAACCTAGTACAGAGTTATCTATAATAAACATGTTTTTCCTATTATAAACCATGTCTACAATTAAACTGTTTAACTCCCCTATACGTGAGTTAACAAACTGTGATTTGGTGGGCAAGAGTAAACTAATATGAACTTTACTATTAGGATAAAATTGCTGAATTTCACAACATTTCTTCTTAAGCTTAGCAATAAGTGTTCTAGTGGATGGTCTGTTGGAATCATCTCGAATATCATTGATTCCCGTATGTATAACAATGTTCCGAAAGGGGCCTATGTCTTTGGGAGCAGGAATATCGTCGATTTTAGCAGCCCACATTCGCTTACCGGGAACCCATTTTCCTAGAGTTCCAACATCTTTACCAAATTTAATGTACTTAGTGTTTGAGTCTCCAATTAACACTGTGCTATTTTTGTAGAAAGGCGCAATATGCCTAAAGGTAAAGCTGTACCTCACAGAAGTTTTCTCTTCAGATTCCTCGCCATCTTCTTCATTAGCGAGGGGTTCAATACCATGATTCCAGATTTCTTGGGACATTCTGGACATCACGTATACACTTCCATCTTTGAGCTTTAAGGACTTTTCAGTCGACTTATGTGTGAACTTTATTGTGCGTTCTTCACCAAGGGACACAGTGACTATTATCGATTCTGGGTCAATAAGAACCTCATTGTCGCAGTGTTGGGGGATATGGCTACTATTGCCTGTATATCTTGTAACAAGGCAAGAGTTCAGCCAGCTCTTCCTATTGGGGAGAGAGGGACGCACACAGTCCAAAAGATCTTGTATCTCCGGTGGAGTTTCCTTTGCCTGATGATAGGCTCCTGTGTACCAGTATCCATGTTCACCAAAGTAGACAACATCCCTGCTGCCACCAACCGAAGAAAAATCCGCACTATTGTCCTCCAGCAGCTTTATAAGTTTGCTGTGAAGCTCAACAGGCACTATATCTTCCTGATAAGTTAGATAAGGGTCACATGCAGGGCCTTCAGGAATTTGAGATGCAGCAAAGTGAGGAGAAGTAGTGTTAGGGGTCATAAGGATAGATTCATTGTAACGTAGTTCACCTTCATCAAAGTTCTGTGTGGACGTTGAGGGACATACATGATCATTGATCTTTTCCAATTGCACTTTGATCTGGGTCATCAGGTTGTCAACATGATCGAAAGTACTGCTGTTAGTCGGAGGTTGCTCTGTCATAGGTATATTTTTGAGAGAGTCCTTCAGGCCATCAATCTCCTGTTTGAGAGAGTTGCTGGTTGTCTCAAGAGCTGAGCCACTCTCCTTTACTTTCGTAAGTACACCCTTGATAGAAGCTATGTCTTCAGTGATATCTTCAATTCCAGTCACTAATCGTTCTGTTCTTTTGGAGTGTTCTTTGAAACAACTGTCCTCCTTGAGTATGAGGTGTTTGATATGCTCGTTGAAGAACTCTATGGTTGTTGTACTTTCTTTGAGTTCCTCATTACACTTTGATATCTTAGAAATATTGCTAAAGAATTCTGTTAACGCTTTGGATTTTTCCTCCTCCTTCAATCTTCTTGTGTAAGGAAAGATAAAGCAGTCCGGGCACTTCCAGGAAGTGCTGAGCTTCTTTAGAGAAGTTGCTGTGAGGCCAGCAAGGTTAACACAGTTAGAATGGAAGGTCTGCTTACAAGTAACACATAAGATTGCAGGGTTCTTTGACTCTACAAAGCAGGGACACTTAGAGAGTAGCGTTCCTGGGATCGATGCTGGTTCGTTGCTCTCTACATCTACAAAGTCTCCATCAGATGTTAGATCTGCATCTGGCTCTGTGTTCCTATTATGTATTCTGCTAGTGACTTTTCGGCTTAAAACAGGGCTTGAAATAGGGGTGGATCCAGCTGACTTGCACCCTCGAGACGTGGAATTAAAGAGGTCCGATCTCCTGTCGAGTTTCTTGTCGGTCTTTTTCATGATGATAATGGATGCGGAGTACAGGGGTGAGCGGAGGGGGCCAGGGTCAGACCCATCGAACCAGACCAGTAAACCTGAAACAAGCTAGGCGGCAGTGAGATGAGTAACATAAATTTATCAGTGATCACGTTAAGCTTAGCAGGAATCACCAGTATATTTAAGGCTAGTTAATGAGTTATTAAGTACGATTGTTGATTGAAAATGAATAAAGTATATCGAAACGTCAATTGTTTTGGATGATATGTAAAATGGAGTGAATGTGCAATGAGGGGGAAGGGGCTGGGGTAAGGATCGGAGGGGTTGGGGTAAGGAAGGGATATCAATTCAAATTCAATGTAAATTTTCAACTTTATCAATAAACAATCCCACACAAATATTAGTTAGAATCTCAAATCTGAATGAATGTACACATATAAAGGGTAAATAGTCTGCGGGTATTATATATAAATTTTTTAATAAAAAATGTGTGGGGAGGCAGATAACAGGGGAAAAAATGGGGAGAGGGATTTTGCAAGACTGCAGGTGGATATCTTTACTTTTTAGATTTCCATTGAATAACTGTCTTGGGTTAAATAATCTTCTCACTCTAACACGAATAGGACAGCATAATGATAAAAGCACAGCTAAACCTCAAGTGCAATTTTAAACATTTAAAAAAATTAATATTCATCTGTTAATACTTTTAGAGTTATGACAATCAAAGATATCAGTATAAATTTAAAGTATAATTTAAATTTGAATTTGTCATACATTAAATGAGCAATAAAGTAACTACATATCAATACGTTTTAGTAAATTTGCTATTTGCAGTGGTTCACAAAACCATTACTTATAATAACTGCTATTTTATTGAGGCTCTTCTATTTCAAGTGCAGACCGTAGTCACCATACATTTCAACACTACATACAGCAGTATCATATATATATACAAATATTTAAGGATATCCAGACTGTAGCCAAGCAAGTTCGCAGGGTTAAAAGTAGGGTCAGGGTAGGGTCACGTGGACGTGGATTTGAATGATGATGTTTATGGCGGTGCTGATGCTGATTGTAGAAAAATGATAATTACTCAACTTGCTTCAGGAGTCCATGGCTAGTCTTCTGAGTACACGACCCGGCCACCCCGCATCACCCCCACACACCTTTTCCAATTAGTGCTGCATTACTTGCGAACTTGCTTGACTGACATTCTTTTTCGACATCCTCAATAAATGTATTTAATTGTAGTTGTGAAAATAGTTTAAAACTATTTCATGGTCCACGGTGGATTGATTACTGGAGCATTTGAAGATGTAAAGCCAAGACGTTCCCCAATACCAAGCGGTGGGCAGGAAATCAAGCTCCGGCTGACCTTGAAAGCAGTAGCCCCACTAGCGGACAAAATGAAAGTCTTGTTAAGACAATAATACGACTTCGAATTTGAGTCAAATTTTGACGGTCAGCAGCAGGGGGATATCAATAATGATAATGGAGGGGACATTAGCGATAACGAGAATGAGAATACGCTTTAATGAAGATTTGACTTATTATTGCTTAGATTTATTTTCCTTTAAATATACGTGTCTTTTTTTCTATTTCTGAGTAATATCAATAACTGTAAATTGAAATAACTTCTTTAACAAGTAACAAAAAAACAGAAATTTCGGTTGAAAATTTGTTGACCTCTGAAAAAAAACTTGAAAGGTCGGCCACCGGTATATTCATGACCGGGATAATTTGGCGGGTTTTGGGAAAGTCCGCCATATTTTTCCCGGTCATTAATTTTCCCAGTCATAAATTAACCCGCTATAATATTCCCAAGTAAGGTAGGTAAAATCTAGTTCTGTGAATGAGAAGGTGGGGTTGGCATGGTAACAAAGTCACTTCAGACTCTGTTTACTCTTCATGTTTAGACAACAACCAGAACCACCCTGTTACCACCTTACCGTGACACCCGCACCCTTCCGGCTCTCATATCACAAGCATTAAATATTATTACAACGGCCATTTCATACCTTTTTACTTTGGTTGTCCTATAGCCATACGATCGCCACGTGAAAAATAATATTACTGGATTTCATAGGTCAAAGGAACTTTCCAGTTCACAAACTCTACATTTCAAGACACTTCAGATGTTACCATTGAACTTGAAGAGCCGATGATTGAGATTCTTGGCTAACCCTAAGCCACTTACTTACACTAACTGTTCAGTTCACTGCTTCAAAACCCCAGGCAATATTCCTGGCACTGTCCGTGAATGTAAAACTAATAAAGCTTTCAGCTGACCCACAGCGACCTCTATCTCATGGCAAATCACACACAGATTCTAAGAATCTACCTCGCGAGTTAAAACTTGAATCAGGAATGACAACTAGGATTTGCGCTGACTTTATAATATGTAAACTATATTATAGTACTACAAATGATAGATCCAGTTTACTTTCAGTCAACTTTTCATCTCACATTGCTGGGCCCAAGAAGGTTAAATTTCATAATCGTATAATATATATATCTCTTGTCGCTAATATATATTAATAAAAAGTAAGTAAAATTGAACTGCAATCTTATTGTTTACGATTTTGAGGACGTCTCGATTTTATTTGCTTCGAAATGACGTGTGAGGAACACTAAGGAATGATATGTATCTTATCACATTGTAGAATGTTGACCTCTATGTCTCTATATAATTAAATATAGATGCAATTTACTTCCTAAGCACTTTTTTGCCAGTTGTAGCTGTTGTTTCCGTCATTCATTTTTACGATAGTTTGCTTGATTAAGAATGGAAGGGGCAGGGTAGCCATCTACAAAAAGTGCACAGAATCTTAAACATTCTCACCATTTTTTCTCCTCATTCTAATTCTTGGTTGCTACAAACATTTTAATCATAATCTTTCTTTGTCGATTTCTATACGAGGAAATAACTTTGGGGTTCAAGCAGGAATCCGGATTATGTTCTCAAAACTGGGTCTGATGGTACTGCTGGCAGTGTACCTCATGCCTCTTGCTATATCAGGCAGTTCGGTTAATACGCAATCCTTCTACGTCAAGTATTTACTCGACAGAGGTATGTGTTTAAATGGTTAAGATGACTAGATACAACTTAATTTTCCTTTCCTTTTCTGGGATAAAACGTCAATTTTGTCATTTTCTGAGGTGCGTCAGCTTGAACTTCAAACTGACGAATAATAACCATTAGATTAACCATATATAGAAGTTAACACAACTTCTAACATACACAGGTATAAGCAGCTTTCTGGTGGGCCTGTTTGGAATGATGCCAGGAGTTGGCTATCTTTTCAACATGCTGTTTGACATGCAACACTATCTCATCCATGAGAGAAAAGTCACCCTGTGGAAATACCAGGTCACTTTTGTGGCAGCTAACGTGGTACAGATGATGGGTAATTGTTACAATTAGCAGAGTATTTGACAAGAAAAACAAGATAGTTTTAAGGTGCATTCTTATCTTAAGAACACGTATCAAAAGACACTGGTTAAATATCAATCCATTAAAAATTTCAATCTAAAAATCACACATCATTATTCATTATGGTATTTATAATTCCTTCCTGCAGGACAGGGACTGGTGGGGCTGATACCAGAGCAGTACAACTCATTAACAATCACCCTCCTACTAATCCTACGAGCTGTACAAGGTTACGTGGGTTTCCTGGCGTGTAAAGGTGTGGTGGAGGGCTGCAGAGTTTGGTTCCCTGACCATGTTAAACTTACTATAGGGCTCACCAACAGTGGTTATCATTCTGGGGGCTCCACTGCTATTCTTATTGGGGGAGTTCTGTATGATCACTTTGGATTTACCTCTACTCTGCTCATTGCTGGGGGTATATGTCTTGTCCTGTTTTCGTACAAGCTTGTGGTTCTGCCAAAGAATTCTCTGCCAGTTTATGTTAACACTAAAAATAAATCTTCTGATGAAACGGTTGAGAATAGTTTTGGAGACTTGGAAAATGAGATGACTGGTGATCAAGTTGGTAGTGAGGATGTTGTTATAACCAACACAAATGTGGCAGATCCACCTAATTATGAGGCAACAGAGGAAGCTGATATCACAACAGCCCAGAACACCAACGAGGAGACCGAGCCTAAGGCCAAGGGGCTTTCTCCATTAATCGTTATTCCCATTATTTCCTACAGCATTCTTGAGGCACTGGTTGGATTTACCTCAGCAATAACCACTCCATACCTTTTCGACACGTTTGAAGTGAGTATTTCTCAGGGTGGGACATATCTTTTTATCCTTTACGTGGCAAGGTTTGCAGGATCGATCGTATCCGGTTACATCATCCAGAAAGGCTGGGCAACACCATTTCAGATCATGGCATTTTCAGCATTCCTCTCAGCAATCGGAGTTTTCATCCTCTTCCCCAACCCAAAGTTAACATTTCTGTATGATAACGTGGTTATCTTCGCTTATATTTCCACACTGCTTCAGGGCCTTTCAAATCAAATGTGCACATTGGCTGCCCTATTTGCCTTTGAGGAAGTCCAAGTAAAACTTGCGAGAAGAGAAATGAGCGCTTCCTCCAAATCAAAAGGTACGACAATTTGGTTATGTCTTTGGACGGCCTTTAACAGGGTTGGTCATTTGGTTGCCCTGTTGGCGATGGAGTACCTTACATACGAACAGGGTGGATACATGATGCTTGGTTTTTGTGTAGTCTCGTTTTGTACGAGTGCAGGCGTCGAGATTGCGATAAGGAAACAGAATAAGAACAATTAAAGGACAGTTTCAGTACACCTCTAAGTTCATTAATCGGGAAAACTGAATGTCTTCATAAAAGCTTGGACCAGTATTATACACATAATGGATACCATACTTGTGGAGGAATGTGACAAACCTGTACTTTGAGATGAGAGGCTGGACATTGATGCACTGTGTTTGAGAATCACTCTCTCTCCGGCACTGGTTGTGGAACTTTTAGAGCTGTGTGTGGACCACGTGTCAAACTCACGACCTGGTCATTTATAGGGTTATTTAATTGATCGATTGATTAATTGATTAATTGATTAATTGATTGATTGATTAATTGATTAATTGATTAATTGATTAATTGATTAATTGATTAATTGATTACATATAAGGACGTGTTCAAACCTGGTTGGTGGTTTTGTTACATTTCTCCCACTATTTACTTCTGGGCCCCCAGATTGAAATCTGTAACATTTTAAGAAAAACTGAAACTACTGACAAAAACTAGACCCTTTGACTGAGGGCACCCTTGAATCAGAATTTTTGTAACATATTCAGGTCCTGAGATATAGCAGTTTAGTTGGGGGCCCTGGAGATTGAATTTTGTAACACATTTCTATGTTACACTTTTTCAATGAGTTTTTAGAGAAGCTTCTTGATAGTTTTTCAAGTTCAGACCAGTTTTTCTAGGTCACAAAGGGTTCCATCAACCATATTCTTGACCAAATTTTGTACTTGGGCCCAAAACATTGAATTCTGTAACATATTTATGTTTTCACTGCCAAGGTCATTATATCTGGAATATTCAATATATTTTTGTATTGGTAACATGGTTTTTAGATTCTCATACAAAATTCTGAAGCGATCCTTATTCATATACTTGATAAAATGGCTGCGGAACTTGAATTATGTAACATTAGAAATTAAGTGTATAGAGTATGTATCCTAGTGTGAGGGGTGTTAGGTAAGCTATATTATAGTTTTTGAAGTTCATACCAGTTTTTCCAGGTCACAAAGGGTTCCATCAACCATATTCTTGACCAAATTTTGTACTTGGGCCCAAAACATTGAATTTTGTAACATATTTATGTTTTTACTACAACGCTCATTATATTTGGAATGTTCAATATATTCTTGTACTGGTAACATGGTTTTTAGATTCTCATACAGAATTGTAAAGCAATCCTTATTCGTATAATTTGATAAAATGGCTGCGGAACTTGAATAATGTAACATTAGAAAGTAAATTTATAGAGTATAGTATATAGTATGTATCCTAGTGTGAGGGGTGTTAGGCAAGCTATATTATAGTTTTTGAAGTTCAGACCAGTTTGCCTAGGTCATAAAGGGTTCCATCAACCATATTATTGACCATATTTTGTACTTGGGCCCAAAACATTGAATTTTGTAACGTTTTAATGTTCCGGTCAAGCATTTTGTACACCAAAATTGTAAAATTTTGTATAAATTACGAGTCAATTGTCACTCTGCCACTTCAGTGGATAAACTCGTGACCTGACATTTTATTGTTACAAATTTCAATATATAGGGCCCAATTTCTATTTTCTATACAATTTGATATATAATATAAATTAAACGTTTTTAAATATCCAACCTTTAATCTAATTAGCTATATATTCATTTGATTAAATTTACCGCGTTCTGTCGTAAATTTAAATTACATTACATTTAAATTGTTACAAAATTCAATAATTTGGTCCCAATTATCATTTTTTAAATTTGTTAAGTTGTTTCATGTCTTAATTTTAATGCATCAACCAACTTAAAACCAATACTAGATCAAACACCTCTGTATAACATACTCATTTGTACCCATGTTACGTTATTCAAAGAAATGGGCCTTTTATTGATTATGAGCCATATACCAAGATTGTTGTAATGCCTTTATACAAGAATTGCTGCACTAATAACCTGGTTTTAGAGTTAAATACATATCCTACACTAGCTGTGGTTGTAACAAACTATAAAGATATCATGAAAACAAGATGTTACAAAATGTCCATTTTGGGCCTTTTTATGAACTCAAAAGTGGGCCTTTTTTCATTCCACAGCTAAGCAAATACCTAAAGTACATTTTTGTGAAGCAAGAATCTTTAGAATTTAATGATTGGCTGAGCCATTGAAAAGTGTAACCAAATGTTACATTTTTCAATATAACTGGGCCATTTTACAATATTATTCATAGCCGATGACCTGAGACTATTTGTTATGACAATTATAATCATATTTGAAAGTTTCAAGACCATCGAGTAATTATTAATGGAGTTATTGTAAAAATGAGAAAATCGCCCATTTTGGCAGTGTAACAAAACCACCAACCAGGTTTGAACATGTCCATAACTATTGTTCGATTTAATCAAACTCTTTCTTTTTTTCAGCTACTAACTACACTTAACTTGCTTTAAAAAAGATTCCAAAAAACATATAAATAACCCACGTGTAACATGAAGTGTAATGATAACCCACGTGTAACATGAAGTGTAATGATAGTTCCGACAGTGCTAAAAGGAGCAACAGATAACACATCCTCCCCCACCACCAGCTGACCCTCACACACTGTGCCCTCCGGTACTACTACCTCTTTAGATTGGAATAAGTCGTCAGATACCTTCACCAGCGTCACTTGTGGAGTCTGATAATATGACATGGTGTTATCACGTTATTTGCAGTAAGTTAGATAAGAAAATAGTTTGATAATTTAGGCAATTCGGTTGTTTTAAGAGTTTGTAATTCGTGCAGAGTCAGCACAAAATAAAATTTTAAAAATCTGCATTCTATAGCCATTACATCAAGTGAAGTAGAGAGGAAGTAGATCTCCTGATCAGGTGTAGTAGGTGAAATGTACTGAAACTTCTTCTTGTTACCCCCCTCTAGCACCACCTCATCTTCACTTTCCTCCGCAAGACCCGAGCAGGTAGTCAGATAGTGGTCTTGTAGCAGCTCCTCATTGGGCACAAACTCGCAACACAGCGGACATTTCATACCTTTTAATTTAGTCTGTTACTTTTGGATTATTTTATCTACAGGGTGTTTCAAGACTCGTGTCCAAATTTAGAAAGTGCCGCTCAAAATTCAACAAATGAGGCAAACTGTTTAAATCTTTTTATAACTTGTAGCTTATGTATTACCTTGGAGCTAAAAATACAATTTTACATAAATATTTTTGTAATGTACAATGTATGCTATACAGATTACATGACAATTCTACCTCACTAAATAGCATTCCCAGAACCAGGGTGTAATTATTAATAGTGGTATTGAGAAACCCTTGCCCAACTCTTGGATCTACTAGAAATGGATATTGTATTACAATTGTATACATATCTTGAGCTTTATTATATAGTATATTATTAGTAATTAGGTGCCCAAACTCTAGTCTTTTCTTAACACTTTGGCAAGTCAAATGATCACCTGCTTTTCTCAGCTATCAAGCTACTAAAAGCAACATTTTGATTTATTGTGCCATGACGTTGGAGCAAAATTTGGCTTCCTGGGAATGAAATATGAAACACTTATATACAGTTGTAGTTGTAACTTTATTATGTTACTTTTTGTTACTTAAAAAAAACTTTTGTTATACTTTTTGTTATCAGCCGTGAAAACGTCCATAATATCATGGTTAAAAACTTCAAAGATTTGATGATTTCAGCCTTACCGTGGTGCTTTCAAAAGGACGAGGAGACTAATAAAAGGCCGGATAAGGACGAGGAGACTAATAAAAGGCCGGGGAGAGCGCCCATACCGCCAGAGCCACGTATTAGGGACCCTACTTTATCCCTGAACAAGTCTCATCGCGGGAAGACTGTTTCCTGGAACACTAACGCTCAGAATGTAAACTATAATCAAGATATACGTTCTGGTTACAAAACTCTACATATTGATCCTGAGACTGAACAACCCTCTTTGACCTCAGGGCAGTATGAGTCAGTTAAACTGACAGAACAGGAAAACGACCCCGCAGCTGATTCAATTAGTCATGATAATTGGGGTGATTCCCGGTTAATTCGTAAAGGCATGTCTCCTTTGAGGGCTCATTTGATCCAGCCGGAGCCACAGTTCCATTCAGCTCGTGACAATCAACAGGACAGTGTTTCTCCATTGAATAAAATACCGAGGAAGACAAGGCCACCCATACCATTACCATTTAGACAAAGCTCAACAGCAAATATCTTGAAAATAAATGATGACCAGACAACAGTTCTCATCTCCGGAAGGAAAGTTAATATTACCAGAAGTAGTGTTCATGCTAAGAAAGCAATGGTGCCCCCTACCAGAAACAACAGATATAAACCAGAAATAAGCTCAGGAGCTGACATCTCTAGCAGAGAAAGGATCTTTATGAGTAAGAAAAGGGTACCCCCCTCGACATCATCGGTAGTATCTGCAGATTTCGTCACTGAGAAAACTTCAACAGAACAAGAATGTCCATACTCCTCTGACTACTATGAATTGACGATAGACTTCAATGGACAGCAAAATTCGGCCACAACTGAGAGGGACAATTCAGAGTTAGAATTTCAGTATTCTTATGCTGCTCCTGCCAGACGTCAGATGCAACACCAGGTGGAAACGTACGCTATACGGTCTGATTACGATGATAACCTCAGAATAACTACAACTTGCTCAGGTATTTAAATTGAAGAGTTTCCTACTCACTACTTCAGTTTGAGCTACAAATTCAGTTTAGTTGGACAATCATTCGTTGCAATATTCGGGAGTAAAACTTTCAGCTGTTAACTTGTAAATCATTCAACATAATGTAATAATAACCTTTCAGGAAATCAAGCCCCAAATTCGGGAGTCCAATCCCCTTACTACGAAGATGCTATACCATTTGAAATGCAATAATGAAATACGGCAAGAAATACGAATAAAATTTAACAATTAGAATTGAATAGTACATTATTATTATGTATAATAACTATTAGTACAATAATTGTCTTTCGAATTTCGTGATCTTCAAACTAGGGTTGCCATTATCGGTACAACATTTTTTATCGCGATAATCGATAATTTTTTCAAAATTATCGCGATTTTATCGGTTATCGGCGATTAATTTGTCAAGTAATATTTGTATACACTCTGCATATTTGAATTATGCTCCTATGCTAAGAGTAAGATGTAACATTGCAACCTTTGTACTTAATTTTTTGCTAATATTTTATGATCTGTTGTTTTAATTGTATAAATGTGCCAACGGAGAACGCACTTTAAAGCACGAAAAAAAAATGAACACACTTCACGCACTTTTCCCGAAAAAATGACGCACGAACCAACTATGGTCTTGAACGGTGCGAGAGTCTTGGTAATGTCTTTTGCTAACTCAGTGTCTCCTGCATCCAGCCTAGCTCCAAGTCATCTAAAATTCCGTGCACTGCATCAGTTATCCGATTATATCTTTCCAACATACTGCACACCGAGCTCCAACGGGTTTTGTAGTCTCGTTGCAGTCTGAGTTCCTTTCCGTGCTTCAATAAACAACAATAACTACGTCTGACCATACAACCTCCAAGTTACTTACTAGATGCGATAACGCAAAATTTCAATCTTCACTGCCACAAATTCATACGCACATACCATCACACTGCAAATTATGCTAGCAGTAGCACTGGGTTTTAACTTTACAGACAGAGAAATAGATACAAAAAATGTGTTAAATTTTGGCCATTTTACCATAATAAAAATTGGTTGATTATCGCGGTAATTCTCGAAAATTGTCGTGATAATCTATAAAGATTTTTGGGAAATTTTCCTCGATAATATCGGTTAGTATTTAGTAACCCTAATCTTGATAGCTTTGAGCAACTTAAGTTCGTGACTTTCAAGTGTCACAATACTATTACTATAATTACTACACTGGTGAATTTTGTAAATTCATTAAGTAAAACCTACAGGAGGATATGACAATTAGGGTTAAGTTTGACCCAATTTCCCGTGCTAACCAGGTTCTACCATGTACTGTGCCAGGAGCCGTTGGGACGCTTAATGTAAATATTTCACCCCGGGTTTGACCAGGTGACATTTAGATCCACTGCTTTAGTATCGGTTGTTATCTATCATACGTTCAATAATCACTGTTCTAACAGTGACCTGTTACTCTGGTCGGCACCTCTGCCGCATCTGCATGAGATCAAATGGACACGTTCAAAAAAAGGTGGCACTAGAGATTGATTTTTTTAAATGCGTTTTAAAAATAGTCATTGTTCTTTGTTGGTTGATATATCTATCTATACCTTTAGAAATTCGATTAAATTTCATGATCCTGAAATCACGGAGTCTCTAGTGCTTATATTACAGGAGTTATCGTTATTTGTGTGCCAATGATTCAAATATCACACAATTAGAAATGCAAGATGAATCAACACTAGATAATCTGAAAAGTACTATTCACAAAGACGCCAAAATTGATATGGTGATTATAATGCATGTAAGGAATGGAATGTCTTATCTGAAATTGTTATTGGTGCCAAAATGATTCAAAAATCACAACTTAAACGTTGGAAATGAGCCTATTTTGAGCAGTGATTATTGAATCATCTTACGTTTTTATTGGCTTTCTATCATTTTTTAGGGTACAAAATAGTATTAAATAGTATTAAAACCAGTTAATATGATTCAAAAATCACATTTTCGTTAAAGGTGCGCTATTAAGTCACACTATAGTAAGCCTTAAATTAAGTGCACGATATGACAATTTATATCCATTCTATGATTCTTATTATGTGATTTTTGAATCCATGTCTAAGCTTATACCATATTGAAGGCCTTTGAGCGATAATTTTTGATCTTGGTGCTTTAATGATTCAAAAATCACACAAATCTGGCTACCAAATATGTAATTTCCTTTAAAGTGTGATAATTGAATCATACGTAATGTTCAAGTTGAAATGACATTTTGAAAGTAAAGGTAATGAATCAATAATCACATTTCAAAAATCCGATTAAGTATTATATGTTACTGATATGATTCATTTGTCACATTATGGCGACAAAATTATCATGGCTTGAGCTGTAAAAGTACTTGCCTAGTTTACTCAGTTTAAAATCAGTTTTTTGTGATTATTGATTCCACTATTACTCTAATAACGAACTTCTCCATGACCATAAACAAGTGTCACAACAAATTACTGCAGATTTACTATGAATACCAACCTGATATAGAGCCAAAAAGTTATACATTCCCCTGATACAGCATAATTTCAATACATGCTCATTTATGTGATTTTTGACTCATTATGGCACTTTTAACCATCTAAATTCTCTAAATATTAGTTAGCATGATATAATTGTGATTGATAGAGTTCATTGTTACAATCGTTCCGTTGATATTCATATCACATTCATCATTCTAAAACACTTAGTCAGAATTAACCCTGTGTGTGATAATTGCATCGTAACTCCACATTTAACCAGTGATACTTTGCACTTTTAACACTCAACTATCTCAAAAAGGTTCAATAATCACATTGAGAAGCAGGACACACTCACAGAATGTAAATTCATCATTAGAGGTGCAAGAAATGAATATTTTGTGATTTCTGGCTCATATCTGCACAATTAACAGATATAAAGAGATGAATGACTTAATTATGTGATATTTGAATCTTTTTGGACCACATATTAAAATTTGGTTAACTTTCATAGCATACTCCTTGAGATACAAGTATTTTAAAATGCTTCACACAATTTTGGCAGTGAAAAATCAATCTCTAGTGCCACCTTTTTATGAACGTGTCCAAATGAGAAACTGAGAGGGTGCACGTGAACGCCAACAGAGTGCATAGGTGCATACTGCATAGTGAAGCAAATAAATAGTTGCCTGGTTAAATTCCTTCCCCATTTATCGTCTTAGTTGACAATTCCATTTTTAATCAATCTTCAGTCAGGACTTTAAACCAGGGGGAAGCGATCCATAATTGGCATCCGTACGGCAAATATAGAGTGGTGTGAAGCGTTTATACACACGTTCATCAAGTTACTCT